TTCAAGAAAGTATAACTGGTGTATGCTATTTATGCCAACATAAGTATTATGTGACACCAATCAGATGTGGAATGCCTGACATTAAGATGTTGAGAAGATCGAACCGAAGAGCATAGAACTGTAAACAAAGAGTGCTAACAATAGAAATGAAGAAACGCTAAATTTTGTAAGAGATAACTGATAGGTAATGTGCAAATGATGCATTCAATGTATGGTTTTCATATTTTACCAAGATACTCTGTAATATTTTACTAACTAATTAAATTGATTTTCCTCACCTGAGTGTAAGATCACCACAAACTACCCTATATGAAAATTCTTTCAGAAGATTATAATCAATTATCAGTATGGGGTTGTGGATCATGAACCGATTGATGTTAAACCACCATTTAAAACATGGAAGCACTAGATGGCCATTTCGTCCTATTGTGGGACTTCTCAGCAGTGCGCATCCACGATCCCACCCTCTGGATTCGAATCCAGGACCTTTTGGTTCACATGCAAACACTTAATCTTCATTTAAATATTCTGCTATTCTTTTTGTTTAATTTTCTGAAAAAGATTTTACACCTTAAATAACATAGTCCTTTTATAGATGTATGATTGTCACTTCATCATTGGAAACATAAAGTTCATCAATGAAGAGATCTATTTTCAAGAAATTCTGTTTTCAAACTGTACAGTCAATCTATATATTTGTATGAAATTTCTTAGATATTCATTCCATATGGACAATATGACTAATGAATAAACGTGATGATGTAATAAAATTTATTTATTTATTTTAACACATAGATATTGGTACAAGGATGCACCAAATACATATGCCCCACACAGATCTCATTTGATATGTGTGAGGGCTGTGATACTGCCAGGGTGCCCAAACCAAATCAGGTGGTTTTCTTAATCGGCCACACCCGGAGCCTTCGACCTGAAGGTCTGATCCACAAGGCAGTGGAGCATCGTAAGGAGATGCAGTCCCATGGTAGCCGGTGACCAACGATTGGTTTATACACCATTTGTCCCTTCAGGATACTGGAGCCCATGTGCACCATTGGTTTGGAATCAGGGTTTTCCAACTTCCCTAGGTGGACTCCCCATGTCCACCAACCCGGCTAAAGCGCCGGACATTCGCTTTTCGTCCTCTCAATTTCGTAAACAACAGTAATGCCACAAGAAGGAAGTGAGTAGGACTTCCCCTGACAGAGGCGATAAAGAGTTGTGATAACGGATTACGTAATAACTATAGTAACAATAAAAGTTATGAAGTTAAATAATAGTTAAAGCGATTGTAAGTATAAGACATATTTCTTTTGCACGCACGGTTTCGGCTCCATCTCATGAATGATAAAAGCTTCTATCGTTTTAATGGATTGGATACGAAAAAATCTAGATAGATTTAGACAAGTTATGTAAATAACTTTTTAAATTAACCAGTGGATCAATGGAGTCAATCAGCTACAACGTAGGACCAAGCACATATATATTCATCAGTCCAAATTGCTATACCTCATTAGCAAAGCAAGATGAATACCAAATTCATAAAAACAGTTACATCAATTATAGTGGAGTGATTGAAATTGATCGAATATTTAACGATAGAACTTCTACAGTGGTCTTGAGTGCTGTTAAGAGGTATGAGGGCCGATGCATATATGTGTATGGTCCTACGTTGTAGAACTTCTAACTGTTTTCCTTTAACCCTTGTATAGAATTGTTTGAAACGATACAATATTAAATATAGAAAATGTGTTTAAATAATTTCAGTGATTGAAATTCAATTAATTTCAACGCTTTGTTCGACACTCGTATCAGAACTATTTCAAGTATATTATAATTGTAATCAACATTACCAGAGAATGTTTCTAAGGTATACACAATAAGATCTCATCAAAATTTTGTTCATTTTTGGTATAGAAAGGTCAAGAGACAATCTGTTGTTTGTATAATATTACTATTAAAGATAATGAATATCTTTAATTTAGTACCCCCAAATGCCCTGGTACGACCAAGAGTGGGGAGAGTCAGCTCTCACTTTTGAAGTGCTTTCGAAAGGCCACGTGTATACAGCCGCTACCAGGAACGTCCTACTGACTGCCTTCTCGTGATGGGGTTGTTGTTTACAAAATTGATAGGACGGAAAGCGAATGTCTGGTGCTTTAATCAGGTTGGTGGATATGGAGGGTCCGCCTAGGGGAGCTGGAAAACACTGATACCAAACTAATGGTGTACATGGGCGCCAGGATCCTATGAGAACAAATGGCGTATGAACATATTTTTGATCATCGGCTACAATGGGACTGTATCTCCTTACGTTGCTCCACTGTCTTGTGGATTGAAGCTTTAGGTCAAAGGCTGTGCGTTTGGCCCCCTATGAAAACCGCTTGCTTCGGCTTGGGTACCCAAGAAGTCTCACAGCCTTCACATAAATCGAATGACTTACATGGTGCATATCTGTTTGGTGCCTTCTTTTATCAATGTTCATGTGTTTAAATAAACAATAATAATAAATAGTGGTTGTTTGGATCTTCCCATTAATGTTCAGGATTGCAATCGATTAGTCTTTTTGATGTATGTACATTCTGTGCTGATTGCCTCGATATTGCCGGTAAGCTACAAGCATTTCAAACGGATATAGATGGTTACTAGCAGTAAAATCAGCGACGTGCGTTTCGTTGTGTTTTGAACTAGTCGGCTTGATGTACGTGCATCTCAAACTTGATGTTCACTCCAGGACTTAATGCCAGTACATTTAGCTTTCAATAACATCGCTATATCCACTTATCTACTGAGTCTAGATAGACATTGATTTGTGCAATGAGGTGAATTTCCAGTAGTGAATATCGACTCTGGAATGCAGGCACATAAAAAACAATCTTATCATTATTAGTCTTAGTTATTGAAAGGCAGAAAAAATGCATATAACATAACCAAATTCGTTGAAAATGTTGTTCCATCATGGGGACACTTAACAACACCTTCAACTATTGTTTCCTTAGAAGTTTAATGTTGTCTAGAGCATGAATAGATTAACGAAACTCAAAACTACAATATTGATCCATAAGATTGTTGACTCTCGAACTAATCATATAGAAAGATATCGATTATTTAATTACGGTTGTTAAGCAATGTTAAACGATCTAATATCGGTTATTATGGCATACATGTATTTACTTTTTTTAAAAATCTTCTATTCATATTACATACATATTGTTTCATCTTACTATTCATCATTATTATTATTACAATTTTGTTTTTATCTTGTCTTGATTGCATCATATGACAATTTAGTTTAATGCATATTTATACTACTTATAAGTTGTCTATTGTTTAAGACATTACATAGTAACTATTCAATGTTCAGTTAATGTAAGAATGTTTTCTTTTTGGTTCTTTAAATGACCTAAACATTTATTCAATATAATAACTGAATATGTATTATTATTGTTGTTATTCCTTAGAAGTCACTTTTAATTCTTGTTGAATAATAGATCGAGTTAAAATGGTTATTTTGACATGAACAAATCATATCAGTCAATAGTTGGTCAGTCAGCTACAATATAGAAGTAGGCACACATTTATGCATTGATCCAAATTGTCGCACTTCATTAGTACAACTAAATGAACACTGAATTCATAGAAGTAGTTACTTCTTTAATGATAGTACTATATATGAGAAAGAATATGTATTAACATTTTAGTTGATTTATAAGATGATCATTGTTTGCCTGGTTAATTTGAATGACTTATAGTCTATATGAAATATTTATGTTTTATCCACAGCAACAGTTGTTATTTTGTTTTCATATTGTTGCTGTTGTCGTCGTTGTTGTCGTTGTCGTCATCGTTTTTTTCCTCTCTGATGACTTTTACGTCAATTCATTTGATGTTTCTTGTAGTCATTATTATCACTACCAAATGTACATATAAAACATACTGATACTACTACCTTTCTATAATAAATCTTTTTAAAGTTGTATAATCAATGGTATTAGTGCAGAACAAAACAAAAAAATAGAAAAAAAGGAAACGTGTATATGAATTAAACTATTCCATTCTGTGTAAAACTTTACAAAAATCTTTTCAATACAAAATAGTTTCATATCAAACGGGTTTTTGTAGATGTTGTAGTAATTTCAATGGTTAAGATCATGAGTCAATTGGATGCCAACTCAGCGATCTAGTGGTTAAACGCTCGTGTGCAATACTGGTATATCCTGGGTTTGAATCTCGTGAGGCGTAATCGTGGATGTGCACTGTCACTGAGGCGTCCTACAATAGGACGAAACGACTGTCCAGTGTTTCCAGGTTATCTATGGTGATCTTGCTTCAATTGATTCATAATCTCAACCATTGAAATTACAAAATAGTTTGTTTTGATATCCAATAATGTTCATGATTATTATTACTACCACTTATTAGTGATCAGTTAATGAATGATCATTCTAGCGATAATAATTCCAACTGTGTGACATTAAGAAATGTGCCTTTGAACACGCTACCTCACTCCCACCGATCCACAACAAGCGGAAGGTTATTTCCTTTAAGATTGTAGACAGCACTAATATTATGTTAGGTAGGGTTGACATACTTGATTTCCACGCAGTTCATTATGTGACAAATGTTTTCTAATGTAACAATGTTTCGGAGCTAAATTATGTATATTTCCTAAACTCTACATCTATACAAACTCAATACCATGCTGATAGACTCTAATAGTTCAAAAGAGTATTCTTTTTACAATTGATTAATCACTGAGTGGTAATCAATATCATGTATATGTGGTCCTTCTTAGTGCAGATTGAATCCTATCGACCAAGTTGCATTGTGGCTACCAGTTTAGGTGACTCGACATTCAGTGTACTATATTGAGATAAGATGATGGTTGGTGTTAGTCAACAGGATTATTCTTTTGTCGCATCTATGTACATATTTTTATTTTATTCTGAATACAGTTTCTTTTTCTAAATATTATTGTTGTTTTTTAATGTTTGTTTTAGATAATGGGTGCTTCATTTAGAAATGTTGAACAAATCCTTGGTTTAGTTGGATGTGATTTGTTAACAATATCACCTAGTCTTTTAGAAGAATTAAGTAAAATGTCAGAAGTGCCCAGTTTATGCTTGACTGTTGAAAAAGGTAAATAAATTTATTCTGTTTTCTTAGTTATGGAACGAAACTGTGTTCAACTTCTGTTTTGATAGCCATATAATATCTTTAGTTGTTTCATTTGGATACTATGTTGTTCTTTTTCAAGCTAAACTGATAAGTTAGTCGTATTAATAATTTATACAAGTCACTTGATTTGTGTGTGGGCTATAATGCTTCCCGGGTGCCCAAACTGAAGCAGGTAGTTTTCTTAGGGTACTATACCCGGAGCCTTTGACCTAAAAGTTTAATCCACAAGGTAATAGAGCAACATAAGGAGATGCAGTCCCATCGTAGCCGATGACCAACAATATGTTCATACGACATTTGTTCACTTAGGATCCTGGAGCCCATGTGCACCATTGATTTGGAATGAGGGTTTTCCAACTCTCGTACGTGGATCATCTATATCCAACAACCCGGTTAAACCACTGGATATTCGCTTTTCGTCCTCTGAATTTCGTAAACATCAGCCTTGCCGTGAAAAGGCATTGAGTAGGAATTCACTTGAAGTGGTTGTATATACGTGACCATGTGTGAGCATTTTGAGAGGGAGAGCTGACTCTTCCCATTCTCGGTCGTAACAGGGAATTTAGGGGCTTAACAAATAACTACACACTGATGGAATTTTTTTATGCATTATTTCTGTGTTATTCACTTACGTGAATTGATTAATTATGATTCTTTCTTTTCTTTTTATTGTGACCACCAACAACAACAACAAAACACACACACACACCCAGCTCAAACATCTTATGATCATTCTTATCAATCAGATGAATTATTAACAGAAGAAGAATTTCGTTGGCAAATGAATGAAGATGAAATGGCTAATGATAAATTAACTGATGGTATAAGACGTTTTACTAATGATGCATTAATATTAAAAGATTTAATTAAAACACGTATAGAACAACAATAATAAGAATAATAATCATAGAGATAATAATCTAATAATAGATCATAGATGAATCAAATTGAATTCTCATGTTTTCTATACGTGATCATTTTCAATCCGGCTTACTTATCATTCATTTAAATGAGAAATCATTTATATCTTTTCAACTCAATATACATTGATCAGCATGATTTACGCATATTAGTATTAAGTATTTTAATTAAAATTCATTTATTTCCAATGATTACATTCTTATTTATTAAGATTGTTATGAAATGGATCCAAGTTTAAGTTATTTCAATAGTTGATATTATGGAAAACTTGGAAACACTGGATGTCCGTCCTCAGTGGCAATACGCATCCACTATCCCGCCACATGAGATTCGAACCCAGAACCTATCAGTCTCGCGTGCTAGCGCTTAACCACTGAGCTGAAATCCAAATGTGTTAATGTCTGACTTCAACTAATCCATGAAATTGAGCGACACATTTGTTTATTTGAACACATAAGTATTGGTACAAGGGGAACCGAACACATTTGCACCGCACAAGTCACTTGATTTGTGTATGAGGTGTGATACTAGCCGGGTGCCCCAACCGAATCAGGTGGGTTTCTTAATCGGCCACACTCGCAGCATTCGACCTAAAGGTCTAATCCACAAGGCAGTGGAGCAAAGCTAGGAGATGCAGTGACATGGTAGTCGGTGACCAGCAATTGGTTCATACGCCATTTGTTCCCTCAGGACGTTGGAGCCCATATGCACTATTTGTTTGGAATGAGTGCTTTCCAACTCCTCTAGGTTGATCCTCCATATCCACCAACCCTTTTAAAGCTCCGTACATTCACTTTTCGTCCTCTTAATTCCGTACACATCGGCCCCACTTCGAGAAGGCAGTGAGTAGAACTTCTCTGGCAGTGGTTATATGCACGTGGCCATCTGAGGGCATTTCAAGAATGAGGAAGCTGACTCTCCCTACCCTCGGTCGTATTAGGACTTTTGCGGGCACATTGAAAAAACCGGTTCTCGTCTTTATACTGTATAGTTAAACTTTTACCATGGTCCTGATAACCCTTAATCCAGAGCTGAAACTGCTGAACTGATAGAAAAGTGTGAGAGATTTTTTCCGTGTTGCGGCTGGTAATGATACTAGGCGAAATACTTTGAAATTACCGAAATGCACGACATACGCGCGATTTAATAATTCAAAATGGTGATTATAAAAGATTATCCTATTGGTTGAATTTTTGGGAGTAATTCAGTAATCAGTCAGTCAGTAACAACGTAGAACTTCGTACGTACGTACATCAATTCGAGTTGCCATACCACATTAGCACAGAGATGCAGTTGTCCACTCAAATCCCGTAGTGGTAGAGGTAGTAAGAGTATAAGCAGTAATCGAAAAGATTAGGGTTTGGAGATGTTAATTAAAGAGTATAGTCCAGTGAAATAAATTTAGGAAGAGAAAAAAAGAGATAAGGAGGAATCAGGAGATTAGAATTAGGGAGAACACAAAGAGTGGATGCACCTGCGCCCACCATTGCAAACGATTTTGAGCCATGTCATTCAGGGTCTCTAAGCATCGGTTGCTATCATCTCGCGGTCTCCAATCAGGTAGTCTACACCTACCAACATGACTCAGTCCATTTGTCAGTGACTTCATGGACTTGAATTCAGTAATAATCCTCCTTATTAACCATTGCGCCAAAGTATCAAGCTAATGTTTATTACATAACCAATTCATGGAGTATATACTATTAGTGCTTATTAGAAAGACAATGAACCATTCAATTCAGTGAGCGAAATACCTTCAAAATAATTAAACTATTTACATACAATTACTTTGACACTTATCCATCATTGTGAAAATAAGTTACGCTTTGTCCTACTTACACAATATTGTAACATACATTACAATATTACATGTAATATATAAATAAAGTATGGTACTTTAATTGACAACTTACGACCGATAACAAATGGTTAAAATTAAAAACAGTCGATCATTTAAATGATGAGGCTATCATTGATGAACGATCTTTGAGTGACGTTTAAATGACCCCGAAAATATCCACCTGTTTGCCAAGTCTAATTGAGAGTTATAAACCTGTGTGAGAAATTAGAATATTTTGAACATTCTATTTTAGCGGCATCTATAGAGCTTCATAGGATTGGATGTAGGATAAGAAAAAATGAAACTACAGACTGTTAGTTTATATCTAATTATAGCAAAGGACTGAAACATTACCAAGTTACTATGAATGTGATGTTTAGAAATTTAAAGACAGATGACTTTCGAAAAGATCGAGTTATTGTCTGTTGATATTCTGAACCACATATACAGTTAACTTCCAAGGGATGGAAACATCTTGATAAATTCTTCATTTTGATATTACATGATCGACGATAGTCTGTAGAAGAACCTTAACTTACGTTTATACTAATTAGTATGCATAACCAAGGCATACCTAATGTCATGAAAAGACCAATGTCCACTTAGTGAATCCAAACAAAATCTATCTCAATTCAAGTTTTAGTAGAATTTGATTAACATCTAGTCAATTAACCTTGTTGGATATTTGATCAATAGGATTAAGTTCACAACTTTGGGCTAGTTTGTTCAATGATCGATCAGTTAAATCATCATGAAATGATTTTCAATCATTTGTTTTTTTTTACTTAATTACGTTACGTTGAGACTATAATCGATGGACGACCAGTGAGTGACACTAAACTGACCTTGAGAGTGTCCACCTTATAACTGGGACTAAATTAGGGTTATAAACTAATGTGAGGAATTATAATCTACAATTGATGATTATGATTAGAAATTAGATTTAGGGAGTTTTCATCAGATATAATGCCAAAACCCTGTTTATCCAAATAAATGAATGAATTTTGCGCCAAAATCATTGATCTTTTATCTTATACATCATTGGTTCGTTTTGTAAATTATAGTCTCTCCATTGGGTATATGCATACAGTTGATCATTCCATTGAAAACATTTTTGACACTAGAATAACATGAGAATTTCTTTTTTTTTAAATAAAATATGAACAACTGTTATAGGTAGTCATTTAAAAACGTGATCGTTTTGATATAGTTAATAAGTTTATGTCATAAGTGTTTTGGAATTGTTGTCCAGTAAAAAAAAAGTACATGACATAACAATGTACGATATTGACATTAGTTATAGATATAAATATAACCATTGTTAAGTCTTGCTGATTTGGACGTCATATTTGTTCCTAAGCTATTCTGATACCCGCACTCTAGAACTATACAGCGACCTGAACACCAAAAAGAAGACGCAAAGTATATATATTTCGGCCAATCCGTTAACGACATTATGCTACTGAACAATAGTAGCACGCCGCGTTGAAATTCTAGGATGCTCCATCATTCTCCGATTGGCTAGGACTCTTCGGCTCCTTTTGGGCCTCTGGAGGCTCCGTTGAAGTTCTCCGAAAGCCGACTCAACAACCATTTTGATTTTTACTAAACAAATTGAATCGACTGAAGATGTTCCTTCATGTTGGCTCAATACCAATGAATATTTTCAGTTTAAGGCTGAAGAGATTGTTGAATTATGTTATAACAATGAACCAGTCAATGTTAGAACATCAATAAACATGGAAGTACCTGATTTCTTGAAGTTAGTCACTAACGCCGTTGGGTTAAGTTAGTGGTGAGGCCAAAAAAATGTGGATGACATTTTCATCATCACTAAAAAGGACTATCTGGAAAACATTTACAATCTGATAATATTGACAATTGACTAGAAGTCAAACAACTGTTACAGGAAAAGTGGAAACTCAAGTATGTTGGAAGCCAATCGATAAAAATCAAATTCTCAATTACGGTAGCTGTAATGTAATAAGTCACAAAACGAAATGCTTACAAGTTTTATTCAAGAGTGTGATAACACACTACAGAACACTTGCAGTGCGTAAAGATGAAAAATATCTGATGAATTTCCTTCGAAAGAATGAACTTCCATGTAGCCTTATCAAAAAATGTCAACATAAATCATTAAGAGAAACGAAATTAGGTACGGGAACAAACATAAAAGACTCATCAAAAATTACAACGAGATTATTGAAGCCGTTTGGCATAAGTGTAGCACACAAACTGGCAAAATCACTCTGATAAATCCTATGCAAACTTGTAGTGTCTACTACTATGTCAAGCACACAGAGATTATTATACTTTCTGAACAGACCGATCTTCACATTATTTGTAAGCTACATTTTGACCTTGTCGCTTATTTCATTATTAACTCAGATCGTATGTATGTTAAGTACTCACCCCTTTTATCATGTGTCTGTAACGTATTTTTGTTTGACTATAAATAAGTAAGTAGAAAAACACAATGTTTGAGTGTTATTAAGGATAAAAAATTTCATACTAGTAGAATGTAAACTAGAAGAAGCTCACGATAATTTAGAATATTTTCTAAGGTTCTTATGATTAAACAGTTACTGATTTTTCACCTGAGCGGTTTCTAGTTGCATTAAGTTTTACTGAGTCATAGTCCAAGGTATTTTTAACGCTCAATGTGTGCAACACGATCAATAGTTGTGAAGATCAAAAGAAAATTCAAGAAACATAGTCATTTAATGGAATATGAAGCATATAACAAAAGAAGTCGAATAAAGCACTGTTTGGACTGCTACATGTCAATTTACAGAGAAGTCGAATAATATCGGTTTATGATGGGTCTATTAGGTGCCAGTTGGTTAATTGTTGGATTAACGGTCGTCAAATGCAGCTTGAATTAGGTAAGCTCCATCGGGCATTTGGGAAACTCAGAATCGGTCCATAAATCAGTCTGTGGAAGGATTAAATTGTACCCAACACATACATTTTAGAGGGTTATTTTAGATTGTTTTATTTGAAAATCACGGTTTTTAAACCCAATATGCCCATGGGCTTTAGAGACATGAGATGTAGCCTGTTCGATAAATGAAATACTTTAAATGTTTACTTTCTAAATCAAATATGCAATTTAGCCGTCTGAATTCCACCTTGTTCAGTTGAAAGCTTATCTGCTCGTTTGTTCTCTTCCAGAGAAGGCTATTGATGATGGTATCCGGCAAATGAATGTTGAGTATCTTGCGTAGACAACCATTTATAAATACTTGTACCTTCTTGATGGTGGTTGTTGTAGTTCTCCAAGTTTCAGCTCCGTACGGTAGAACTGCCTTGAAGTTCGTATTGAAGATTCTGGCTTTGATCTTG